GATTAGGGGTAAACGAACTACCTCTTTCTGCTTGTTGATGCCTAACACAATTACTTTTCAATATTACTTTTTCATATATGCACATATTTTTAATGCCATAAATTTTTCTCTCCATCAGGTCAGTATTCATTTTGTGATCTCTTGTGTTTTGATGAAGATAGCCTTCAGTGAACAGTAACACAACCAGGGGTACAATTTTTCAAACTTTGCTTGGGTGCACAGAAACTTTGAAACCTGTGTTTCAGGTAGAGTGGATATTACTTTGGGAGACTGTACTGCTGATAGGTAGATAATGTCCTTAAAGCCAAGCCTTCTTTTTAAAGTTTTAGGCTGAGTATTAGTATAAATCTCTAAGAATAGAGATTCCTCCAGAATACGTAGAAGGTGTACAGTTTCCTCAGATCCAGGCCATTTGGGAAGTTATATCCTCAATATTAATAGTTGTTTGTCTTTTTTGTTTTGGACCATAGAAACCTGCTCCTAAGAAACTGTTATTTGATGCCACATAAGGTTTCCTGGGACTTGTAGCCTATAAATAGTTACATTTGTTTGGTACCTTGTTTTCTTTGCTCATTTGCTCCTATGAGGAGAGAGTATTCCTTAAGTTAGTTTTGCATTCTTCTCTTAAGTGTTACTCTTATTTTAGCAACATTATCAGACACTGCTATGTATATATGGCACATAATCATGTTTTACTTGTAATTTCCATTTGTCTGTGCTCTAGTGATAATTAGCAAATAATTACTAATAGATACTGTTATTAGCATGTCTGTAGGTTTTGCTCCCATCCCCAGCACTGAGAGGACCCAGCAGATCTATTAATTGCCATTATTTTTTTTAAAATGTATCCTAGAATCTGTTTAGATCACATAAAGCTCATTATTTGCTTAGATCTAGAGTATGCTTGCTTCCTGATTTTTAAATTTAAGAAAAAAATAATTTAAATTCCTATGATTATTGTGTTTTTGCTATTGCCTGCTACAATTCTTTTTTACCTTTTTTCCTATCTATCTGTGGACTCAATGATTATTGTCACCCTTTGCATCTTCCTATTTCTCATGCTGTTGTCAAGTTAGTTTTACTAGGAACTTGTATCAGTTTATCTTCACATTTTCTGCTTCCTTCTTTATGCTCCTGGGGGCTTTTTGCTTATCTGTCACTTATCACAGTCCTTTGGTTGATCTCCTCTGTATTCATCCTGTAACATGGTGCCTGTAACAACAACGTTGTTGTTGTTGTTGTTGTTATTGTTCCTCCTTGCTGTCCATATGTTTGTGATATTTCCCAGACTTTAGCCAAAATTCATCTTTGATTCTTTGGCTCTCGTACCCCCTGTATACATTCAGCCACCAATCATTTTGTCCTCCATGATGCCTCTTATTTCCATGTCTTCCATTCTATTTCTAATACTTTCTTGGTTCGCATCCTTCTTACCTTCTGGTAAGAACTCCAGAAGTATATCTTAGTATAGAGGCAAACAACCCTACATACTTAATATTTAACTGAGAGCATCACTTATCATGGTAGAATATATTTATTGAGATTGATAACTATAACTCTGAGGAAGATATCAGGAAAGTTAAATTATGTTCATTGCTATTTAGGAGGGGCAGCATGGTGTTATGGATAGATAGCTAGTCTAACAGCTAAGAAGACATGATTCAGGTTATATCTTTTAATATACTACCTCTGTGACCCTGAACAAGTCACTCAAACTCTCAGTGATCCAGAGAACTCTAAAATTACAGGTTGCAGACAGATTGCTAACATCCATCAATGGAAAAAGTTTCCTAATTGGGAGTTCTCTTCACTCATGAAATTATAAATTATAGTATCATAAATTTAGAGTTAGAATAGACCTAAGAAGCTATCTAATCCAATCCCTTCATTTTAAACATAAGGACCCTGAGACCCAAAGAGATTAAGTTACTTGCCTAAGTAAGGTCATCCAGGCAGCGAATGGGAGGGCCAAGGTTTGAGCTCAGGTCCTGTGACTCCAAATCCAACATGCTTTCCATAGTACATGCTGCCCCATACCACCACCACCGGAAGCAAAAAATCTCCAAACCAAACACAAACAGAACGAACAGAATTTTATTTAAAGAAAATGGATAATTCATTTTATAAATATTTCCATAAAATGATAAAAATCAAAATGTATTTTGTTGCTTTTAGAGATAAGGTTTATTTACCTGGAAAATTAATTTATGTAGATAATATAAAATGATTTTGCTCTGTTTCTCTTTTCTTTGTAATGTGTATCTACTGCCACAAGGTGGTATTAAAATCATGCAGGGGAAGGCCATGCTGATCTTTTTTTTTTTTATCCACAATTATGTGAAACACTTCCATATTAGTCATTTTGTACAAGAAGACCCGAATAAAAGAAAAAAATGAAAGAAAATGAAAAATAGCATTAGTCTGTATGCAATCAATATCAGTTCTTTGCTTCATCATCAGTCCTTTGGGATTATCTTGGATCATTTCATTGCTAAGAATAGCTAAGTCATTCACGGTTTCTCATCAAACAATATTGCTGTTACTGTGTACAATGTTCTCCTGGTTCGATTCACTTCACTATGCATCAATTCACATAAATCTTTCCAGATTTTTCTGAAATCAGCCTGCTTGTCATTTCTTATAGCACAATAATATTCCATCACAGTCATGTATCACAGCTTGCTTAGCCATCCCCAGTTGATGGATATCCCTTCAATTTCCAATTCTTAGCTACCACAAAAAGAGCTGCTATGAATATTTTTGTATAACTACATCCTTTCCCCTCTTTTTGGGTATCTTTGGGATATAGACCTAGCAGTGGATCAAAGAGTATGCAGAGTTTTATAGCCCTTTGGGCATAGTTCCAAATTGCACTCCAGAATGGTTGGATCAGTTCACAACTTCACCAGAAGTGCATTAGTGTCCCAGTTTTTCCGCATCCCTTCCATCATCCAACATTTCCTTTTTTGTCAGATTAGCCACCCTGATAATTGTGAAGTGATACCTCAGAGTTGTTTTAATTTGTATTTCTCTAATCAAAAGTGACTTAGAGCACTTTTTTCATATAACTACAGATAGCTTTAATTTCTTTGAAAACTACCTATTCATATCCTTTGACCAATTATCAGTTGAGGAATGACTTATGTTTTTATAAATCTGACTCTATTCTCTATATATTTGAGAAATGAACCCTTTATCAGAGATACTTGTTGCAAATTTCCCCCCCAGTTTTCTGCTCTCATAATTTTGCTTGTGTTGGTTTTGTTTGTGAAAAATCTTTCTAATTTTATATAATCAAAATTATTTTACATTTTGTAATGCTTTCTATATCTTTAGTCCTAAATTCTTCCCTTATCCATAAAGCTGACAAATAACCTATTCCATGCTATCTTAATTTTCTTACGGTATCACCTTTAATGTATAAATCATGTATCCATTTTGACCATGTCTTAGCATATGGTGTAAGATGTTGGTCTGTATCTAGTTTCTGTCATACTGTTTTCTAGTTTTCCCAGCAGTTTTTGTCAAATAATGAGTTTTTGTTCCAAAAGCTTGGATCTTTGGCTTTATTGTGTACTAGATTACTGTGGTCATTTACTATAATATAATTTGTACCTAATCTATTCCACTGAGCTATCACTCTGTTTCTTAGCCAGTACCAGATTGCTTTGATAATTAACACTTTATAATACATTCTGAGATCCGTATGGCTAGACCACCTTCTTTCACATTTTTTAAAATTGATTCTCTTGATATCTTTTAGCTTTTGTTCTTCCAGATGAATTTTATTATTTTTTCTAGCTCTATAAAATAACTTTTTAATAGTTTCATTGGTATGGCACTAAATAAATAGATTAATTTAGGTAGAATTGTCATTTTTATTATATTGACTCAGCCTACCCATGAGCAATTAATATTTTTCCAATTGATCTGATTTTATTTCAGTGAAAAGTGTTTTATAGTTGTGTTCTTATTCTTCCTGGGTTTGTCTTGGCAGGTAGACCCCCAAGTATTTTATATTGTCTACAGTTATTTTAAATGGAATTTCTCCTGTCTTTTGCTGCTGTACTTTTTTTTTGTAATATATAGAAATGCCAATGATTTATGTGGGTTTATTTTGTATCCTGCAACTTTGCTAAAGTTGTTAATAATTTCAAGTAGTTTTTTTAGTTGATTCTCTAGGATTTTATAAGTATAACAACATATCATCTGCAAAGAGTGTAATTTTGTTTCCTCAGTACCTATTCTAATTTCTTTAATTTCTTTTCCTTTTATTGTCATGGCTAACATTTCTAGCATAATATTAAATAATAGAGGTGATAACATGTCGATCTTAATAATGGCTCCCATCTAGGATGTCTCAAATATCGTAGACATTAAGATTCTAGATTAATTATTAAAACAGCTACAAACTTTTTGTGTAAGATAAAGCCTAAAGAAATACCACCCACAATAGCAACTTTTCTATGCAGAGTAGAATTTCTTTCTTTAGCAATTTAGTTCTGTTTAGGACTTCTGATTGTGGCCTCTGAATCTGATTAGACTGATTAAAAGGCCTTTCATTGCTAATTTGTCCTTAAAAAAATAAAGCCCTTTTCCTAGTTTCTTAGTGATCAAGGAGATGAAATATATTTCAGGGCTAACTGCTTCTTTATCATCTGGTCATTGTATGAAGTCTCATAGTATGAAGTCTGACTTTTTTCTTAGATTCTTGATCCTACTTAACTTTCTTGCTTAATGTTTTACCTATAATGGAATCTAACTTTGTTTTTGCTATTTCCTGGAAAGGAAAAATTTTAAGTCGTACAACTGAATTAAGATACATTGACAAAAGAAGAAGCAAATTTAAGTGTGTTAGTTGACATGATGTCTTAGATACATTCTTGTTCTAAAATTCTGACTCTTCTGACATCTTACTTAATGGTACTCATATTCAATTAAACTGTGTAAATTTTGACTTCTTTTGTCCCAGCTTTGTAATGGACATGCTTTGGTTCTAGGAGGAATGATTCTGGCTGCAGATTATTCTCAACTAGAACTGAGGATCCTGGCTCATTTATCCCAGGATTGTCGTCTCATTGAGGTACTAAACAGTGGTGCTGATGTGTTCAAGAGCATTGCAGCAGAATGGAAGATGATTGATCCGGAGACAGTTGGGGATGATATAAGGCAGCAAGCCAAGCAGGTATATGTATAGTAAAACAGGTAAACACTTTTAAGACCAGACATCAAAAGTAGCGAAGTTGTATGTTTGGAAGCCTTAGTTTGCAAATCTTTCACTTAAGTGTTTTATTGTTCTTATGCCTAGGAAGTAGATCAGTAGATTCATGGGATTTAGAGTTAAAAGGGACATTAAAGGTCATCTCATCCAGCTCTCTCTTTCATAGATAACACAGCTAAAGTCATAGAAGGAAGTTACTTGGCCGTGTCCATATATAAGTAGTAAGTGGCAGAACCAGGATAATGATGATAGTGGACATTTATATATTTGCTTAAAGTCCTGAATGCATATTATCTCATTTGATCATTATGCTATTCCCAGGAAGTCATTGTTGTTATTTGGTCCAAACCTGTGTTTCACTAGTGGAGGGAAATCCTGGTTAGGAAACTGCATCTACTAATGTAGACTGGATATTGCCCTGGAAATCTGTAGCCTTAGAGAGCTTCCTGAGCACAGAGAGGACCACTGACTTGCCCTGGGTCACACAGCCAGTGCATTTAGGAGGTAGGACTTGAATCCCCCCCAGGTCTTCCTATCTTCTAGTCTGACTCTCTATCCATGAGCCCACGTTTGCCTATCTAGGTGCTATTATTTTTCCCATTTTAGAGATGAGGAAATTGAGATTCATAGAGGTTAAGGGCCTTGTCCAGGAATGTATAGCTCATGTCTGAGGCAGAGACCAGAGCATGAATCACTGTGCAATGATGCAGGCCTTCTGATTCCAGGTCCATTGTTCTTGATGGGTGAGTATTGCTTTGATGTATAGTTTGAGAGCTAGTACCACTAAACCTGCTTCTTTCCTGCTTTTTCCATTGTTTTCCTTTATTTTCTTAATTATTTATTTCTTCAGATGACTCATTATTTTTTCTAGTCTTATAAACCAATTTTTTGGTAGTTTGATTGATATGATGCTAAATATGTAAATGATTTAACTTATATTATAATTTTATCATATTAGCATGAATATTTCTTTATTTCTAAATGCATCTGTCCTATGTTCCCTAATAAGGCAGATAGGTGGCACAGTGGGTAGAGCACTGGGCCTGGAGTCAGGAAGACTTGAGTTCAAAGCTGGCCTCAGACACTGAAGTCACTTAACATCTGTCTGCCTCACATTCCTCAGCTGTAATAAGGGGATTATAACAGTTCCTGATTCTCAGGTTGTTGTGAGGTTCAAATGAGATAATATTTGTAGAGTGATTAGCATGGTGCCTGGCATATATGCATACATAGCACACAGATGCTATGTAAATAGTTATTCTTTGTTGTTCAGTCAGCCAAAAACCGCTTAACTTTCTCCATAAAATTGGCTTAGATGTTAGTCACAATAAACTTTTTTCTGTGGCCTTCAAGTTGCCTATTTAATTGGATGCCTCTATTATCCTAGATTTGCTATGGAATAATCTATGGAATGGGAGCTAAATCTTTAGGAGAGCAAATGGGCATTCAAGAAAATGATGCTGCTTGTTATATTGAATCCTTCAAGTCCAGATACACAGGTAAAAGGAATCTCTAGATGTGGCACATTTTATAATCATCATCCTTTTCCTTCATCTGTGGTTTGAAGTTTGCTTTTGAAAGTCCCAGTCAGCAAGGATTTTCGTCAGACAAGTTTAAAGGGATGTAACACCTAGACAATCACAAAAACTAACATGTACACATCAATACAATATAATATATTTGTGAAAAGCAGGGATCAAGAGAGAACATCGGAAGGTTGGCTATGTGAGTGGCATAATTTCCCTGTCAAATCTTTGTCCTTCTGTTGAAAGAACTCTTAATGATATTCATGATTTGTTGAAGTTGAAAAAATTTCATAGAGGGTAAGTAGATTCTTTTTTTTTGCCTTTTGGTTTTTGTTTTTTATTTTAAGAAAATTTGTATTTTGGGGGACAAAATAGATACTTCCCAACAAACACTCACAATTCTCTATACAAATTAGATTTCTATAAAAAAAATGCCATCAATTTCTTAATTTTTTTTTAGTATGTGAATTATCTTTTTTTTTATTTCTTTTGCTCATCACCTCTTTTCCCCCTTGAATTCCTCCCAAGACCCTTCTTAGAGATCCATTCCTTATAATGAGGGGAAAAAAGGAGGAAGGAAAAAATTCAGCAAAACTAACCTCCATATTAAAAAAAAAAACCTGATGTTTTATGCCGCTTTCCCACCTCTATGGTCCCCTATCTGTCCGTTTTATATTCAGTAGGAGGTATGTTCTTATGCCTCTTCTTGGTGCCAAGCTTGGTTGTTACAATTTCACAGCATTTGTTTGCAAATGTTATTGTTGCTTTACTTTCCATCTACATTGTTGTGGTCATTGTCTGTATTGTTTTCCTGGTGCTGTTGATTTCACTTCATATAAATGCTTCAGTGTATTCACTTTATTCATCATTTCTTGCAACACAGTAATATTCCACCATAGAAATGTGCCATACTTTTCGTTAGCCATTCCTAGATCAGTGGGCATCTACTTTGCTTCCAGTTTTGTGCTCCCACAAAAATTTCTGCTATAAACCTTTTGTTTGGTATATGTGAACCTTTCTTTCACTGACCTCTAAGGGCATATGGCCTAGCAGTGTAATCAGTTTCTTAATTAACAAAAAGGAGGGATGTGTCCCTTAAAGTTGGTAGAATGCTGCTACCATCAATCACTGTATTTAACCAGTTTTTATTTCATCTCCTTATTGACCTTTTTTTTTTTTTAATTTTGTTGTAGCCATTGTGAACATGGCTCTGCTTTTGTTTTTTCTCCTGTTTTACCTCACTTGGTCGATGTCTTCACGTGTTTTCCTGAATTCTTCATATTTGTCATTTTTTTATACAGCAGTAATATTTTTTCAGCCATTTTCTAATTGTTGGGCTCATTTTGTTTCTAGCATTTTGTTATAGATAAGGCTGTTTCAAACCTCTTTGTATATGGCTCTTTATTGTTATCAATAACTTTGTTTAAATATAGTTATAATAGAATGAGATCTGGGTCAAAGGACAATTTAAATTTAGTAACTTTTGTTAACTTTTTTCCCATCATTCCAAATTACTTTCTAAAAAAATTGAACCAATACACCAGTGGTTATTGATAATTTTTATTCCTTATTTTGAAAGCTGTTTTATTTTGCATACATTTTAGATATTATGCTTTTATCAGAAATTTATTGCAGTTTTTGAATCAAAATCTTTTTCTTTTTCTAGGTGAATTGACCTTAATTGTCCAAAAACCTTAAAAATTTATGTAACTTAAATTGCCTATTTTTTTTTATGTCTTCCTGTCTTGTTTGGTTCACAATTCTGCTCCCATCCACAATTATGAAAGATAGAACTTTCCATTACTGTCTTACTATTTATGCTATAACTTGTCATACTTAGATCATTTATCGATTTGAAATTTATTGCTATATGGGATATTTCTAGGTTTTGGTTATCCAGTCTGTTCCACCAGTAGTTTTTTTAAAATAATTGTTGCTTTGTAGGCTAGTTTGAAATCTGCCAAACCACCCTACTTTTTTTCATTATATATTCTTGAACTTTTATTTCTCAGAATGTGTTTTGTTTTTATTTTGTCTGACTACATAAAATTTCCTTTTGATCATTTGGTGGTTATAGCATTCTCTCTGTAGTCACTAGGTACAGCATTTTTCCTTACCTCCCTCTACTTTTTTTTTCCTTTTTCTTTTTTTATTTTTAGGCAATTGAGGTTGAGTGACTTGCCCAGGGTCACATACCTAGTAAGTGTCAAGTGTTTGATCTGAGACTAGATTTGAACTCAGGTCCTCTTGACTTCAGGGCGGGTGCTCTATCTACTGTGTGACCTAGCTGCCCCTCCCTCTACTTCTGATAATGGGTTCTTCATTTGTTTTGCTTGTGGCTTTCCTTCCCAAATCTACCCTTTCTCTTTGGCCATCTCGTGGCCTTGTTTCTTCTTCCTTCTTTTTTCATCCCAGTTCTCTGTTTAATGTACTATATTTTTACTAGCCTGCTCTTTAAAAATGCCTGGACCTGATAAAGGTGAGGTTTTTTAACTCCCCACTCTCCTCACCTCATTGTTTGAATAATCTTTTCCTGTGGTTCCCTAATTATGAGAAATAGTAAGTTCCTTCCTCCTCATTCCAACTGTTTTCCCAGGGTATTTCCTTTCTTTTCCCCCCCATTTTCTTTTTTCCTTTTGTCTTCTGTTGAGAGTTGGAGGTTACTGACTGAATTACTGCTGAGAGGTGACTGTTAGGTTCAGTTGGTGAAGATTCCTTCCAACTACTGTTACTTCAGACTCTTTTTGACTGCAGAGTCAACCACTTCTCCATGAAGCCTTCCTTGCCAAGGCCAGGAGTCAGGGTGGTCAGTGGGTAGCAATTTTGTCCGTCACTTTTGCAGCACGGCACAGGTATTAAAATGCTAAAGCTGGGATTTAAACTCAAATCTTCCCCTCCACCAAATCCCAGTGATCTTTCCACTATACTAGGCTATTTCTCAAAGTAACCTTACTGATATTTTAATGTGTTTCTTTAGGCAGGAGTAAGTACGTTACATAAATTATAGCTTTGGAACGTATTTAGATTTTATTTTATTTTTCTCTTAGGTATTCGACATTTCCTAAGAGAGACAATAAAGAACTGCAACAGAGATGGGTTTGTTCAGACCATTCTGGGGAGGCGAAGGTATTTGCCTGCAATCAAAGACCCAAATCCTTACAGCAAATCCCATGTACGTTGAACATCCTCTAGGCACTAATTTAAAAGTTAAAAAATATATGCATAGTGTATTGTATCAGTAATTCTAGACCCTGACTAATAATACTGACAAATTTATTAGTCTTATGATGAGTGTATCTATACTTTGGGTTAATTGCTTGTTTAATTAAAGTCTTTTTATCTTATTTTATTTTTAATTTTATTTATTTTTTTAGGGTTGACCAACCATTTTATTTGCCTCTGATCAGTTCAGGAATGTTGATGGGGGCAGATAGCTCTTTACATAGGCTTTGGAGGGGGTCTGGAGCAGCACCAGCAGGTCTGAAGCAGGGTGGGGGTGTCCGATCCTTTCGTGCCTCCTGGGACAGATTCCTCACTACCTTGCTGTGGATTGTGCAGCTTACACAGTAATGAAGTTTCACATACAGTTTGGGCAGCACATAGGAGTTGAAGACACTGGCCTCGGAAATGTCCCTGACGGCCGCGGCTTCCACGATGTTGCGGATGACCAACTTCTTGATGGCCTTGTCCTTGGGCACGCAGCGGGCGCAGTTGGTGCAGCGGACGGGCTGCACGTGGCCGCGGCCCTTTTGGTGCGCCGGTTGTCCCTCCTCTTCTTGCGCATCTTGAAAGCCAGGAACCGAAAAAAGCTAATTAAAGTCTTTTTAAAAGAAATTAAATATGATAGCATGTAAAAGCTTTTGTTGAATTTGATTCCCTGATATAAAATATCATATTTAAGAAATTACTTATTATTTATTAGTGGTCACGATTAATATTCTTTGGATAGAAGATAGTAGCATAGGGAACAGACAGTACATAAAGTTATACTATATTACAAACAGCAGGAGGTGATAAGAGTAATGAAGGCAAGAAGGAAATAGATGGATTTCTTCAAAAGACATCATACCTGACAGTGAATCACCTATTGTTTATGTTAGGGTATTATTAGGAATCTGATGCTTGCAGATTGGTTCTGTACCCAAGAAATAGTGCCAGATGATGAAAAAAATGAGATAGAAAAGTCCAATATAAAATTATCTCAATTAGAAATCTTTGTGGCATTGTGAATAGGGATAGCAAACAAATGGTTTCCTGTTTCACTTAAAGGCAAGAATTAGTAATAAAATCCACAGAGAACTGAGCATTGTACTATACTGTACCTTAGTAGGTATGGGAGGTGAGAACAGTGTTCCACTGACATGCAGTTTGTACTGAGTCAATATTTCTTCCAGAAACAATTAAAAACAACATGTTTACACAATGTAACACCTTCATTTGACTACAAGAGAAATTGAAAAGCATGCTGAAGGATTGATAGAAAAAATGTGCCTCACAAAATGAAGGGAAGAAGAAATCTGCTGATATCTTAGAGCCGTGTAGTAGGTTTGAGGTTCTTCCCAAAGAGGATGGACTTACACCTTCTAGTGTTTCAAAGGGTGATGACAAAAAACTCCTGATGTTACCAGGAGAGAGGTTATCTATTTGAAGTCTAGCTCTAATTCTAAATCTATGATGCTGGTAATAACTATGATGGCTAGTAATAACTAGCCAAAGAAAGAAGAGATGAATCCTAGTGTGACTATAAACAGAACTCATTGAATACTGAATTTTAAAAGGACATGAAAAGAAAAAAAAGCAGGCAGCAGAGGATAAGAACAAAAGAATGGCACATCCCCGCATGAATGTCACAAATGATAAAGCCTACAGTTGACGTATTTGTTGTTCAGTCGTTTAGTTGTATACGGCTCTTTGTGACCTTGTGGACCACAGCACACTCATAATAATCATGGGGTTTTCTTGGCAAAGATACTAGGGTGATTTGCCATTTCCTTTTCCAGTGGATTAAGGTAGACAGAGGTTAAGTAACTTTTCCAGGGTTGCACAGGTAATAACTGTCTGAGGCTGGATTGAGCTCACGTCTTCCTGACTCTAGGCCCAGTGCTTTATCCATGGAGCCATCTAGCTATGGTGCCTGAAATAAATGCTAAGGACTACAAAAGTTATTTGTTTTTAGCTTTATTGGAGGCAAAAGGAAGTACGAAGAAGGGTTAGGACCATTTTAGGGGAGTAGAATAGATGATAAAATTAGGCAATAGATTAAAAGCGAAATTACTAAATTCTTATTTTGCTCTTCTGTATCAAAGAGATTGATCTTCAGATTAGGAATTATAACACAAAATGATCACTAGGGAATTGGTATTGTAAGAGCAACTAGATGATACTGAGTTCAAGTCACCAGTCCAGATAAACTACATCCTAGGTCCTGAAAAACTCGAAGATGTAGTTTGTAAGCCACTGTTGGCTATTTTTGGAAAAAACATGTGGGTCAGGAGAGGCATCATAGAAGTAGAGATGGGCAGCTGGTGCAGTTATTTTTAAGGGAAAGGAACTTTAGGGCAGTGAGGACGATGTGAGTTGTGGGCAAAATTCTAGAATGAATTATTAAAGCTGTGGTTTTTGAATGATTGGACAGGAAACTAGTGATTACCATGAACTCTCTTAGGTTCAGCGAGAATAAATTACACTAGGTGAACCTCATTTTCTTTCTTTTTTTTTCTTTTTTTTTGACTGGGTGATTAGATTAGGTGAGTTCTTTAGACATGATATATGTGACCTTCAGAAGGAGATTTGACAAAATATTTCACAACATCTTTATGAACAAATTAGGAAGATGGCTGTATAATGACATGGTCAGTGAAGAGAGAATTCACTAAATGACCAGAAAAAAATATGGTTATTTGTTTTATGTCTACTTGGAAGATTTCTGATAGAGTGCTACAGATTTATTTGTTTGGATCCTTTTTATTCACTGGTGGTATAAGTGCCGCAGATGAAGGCATAGATGGCATATCATGACATTTTAGATGAAATAACGTTTGAACAGATAGTTAATAGAATTTAAAAGGAGCTCAACTTGTTAGAATGGTGAGCCCAATTAATAAGATGAAACTTAATGGGGATAAATATTAAGTCCTGTATGTAAAAAGTCAATTCAACAAGAGATACTCTTGTGAAAAAGGCTAAAGGTTTTTTTTAGTGTACTCTAAGCTCAATGAGTCAATGGTATTAAAAGCAGCAAAAAAGATAATAGAATCTTAGAATCTATTAGAAATTTAGTACGTGTAGAACAAGACATTACAGTCTCATTGCATTTTGCCATGTCGGACCATATCTGGTTCTGGGTGCAACATTTTAAGAAGGGCATTGGTATTTTTGAATTGTCCATCCAAAGGAGGTATTCAAGTTGATGAAGGAATTGAAAAACCATTATCCAAATGATTACAGATGGAAGGAATGAGTTTGTTAAGTAATTTGACATCTATAGTAATGTCTTTAAGGGATTGTCATGTGGATAATGATAGCTCACCTTTACACCTTAGAATTAAAATAGATTTAAAGATCATCTAGTGCAACTTTTTCACTTCACAGGCAAAGCTGTAGCCCAGAGAAGCTATTTCATGTGGTGCTTTAATGCTGACAAAGTCTTTTATTCAGTAAGAGAAATGTAAATTAAAATAACTCTGAGATTCCATCTCATACTTGTTAAGTTGACAAAGATTAAAAAGAAAATGATGATTTGTGGGAGGACAGGAACTCTAACATACTTTTGATGGAGCTTTGAATTAGTCTAAACTTTCTGGAAAGCAATTTGGAATTGTACTTCTAAACCCTCTAAACTGTGCATATCCTTTGACCCAGTGATAGAGATACTAGATTTATGCCCCTAAAGAGATCAAAGGCAGAAAGGAAAGGATATATCTGTACAAAGATATTCATAAGAAGGAAAGAAATAAACATTTATTAAGTGCCTACTGTGTACCAGGCACAGCACTAAGCGTTTTATAAATATTATCTCATTTGATCCTCACAACAACCCTGGGAAGTAGGTGCTATTATTAGATTCATCTTACAGTTGAAGAAACAGAGGCAAACAGATTAAAATGATATGCTCTGGGTCATACAGCTAGTATGTGTCTGAACCCAGATTTGAGCTCAAGTCTTCCTGACTCCAGGCACAGTGCTCTATCTACTGCAACATCCCATAGCAACACTTTTTGTTATAACAAATAACCAGAAAGAAATGTATGCCCATCAGTTTGGGAGTGGCTGAGCAAATTATGGTATATAATTGTAATGGAATATTGCACTGACAGATGGGATGGATTCAGAAAAAATCTTGGGAGGGTTGTATGAAGTGATACAAAGTGAAGTAAGAAGAACAATGAGAATGCTTTATTTAATAACTATATTATGAAGAGAAATAACTGAAAGACTAATGCAGTGACACAGATCATCAAGATTGATGATGAGTCATGCTTCTCCTTTCTTGGCAAAGAAGTTACGGACTACAGGTGGAAAATGAGACACGTATTTGTAGTCATGACCAATGTTTAAATTGGTTTTGCTCGACTATACTTGTTACGGCAGAGAACTTTTGTTTACTTTTAGGGGTTGGGGGTGGGGAGTGGGAAGAGAGATTCATGAGACAAAAGGAGATTAGTGATGCCAAAAGGGAAGAGGAATAGAATGTCAGTTAATTTGAAAATATACAAAAAAGAGCTGTGGAAATTCAGAAAGAGACACAGTTGGAACAATTTGGGGACTGTTATGTTAAATCTATTATATAATTAGTGGAAAAAAAACCCAACCTAGCTGTACATAATAGAGTAGTCATGCTTTTATATGCAGCTTTCCTTTTCTGAAATTTTTTGTATGTGTATATGAACATGTTGGTTGATGTTTGCTAAGTTCATAATAAAAAATGCTTTTAAAGTACTAATATTTTTAGTTAGTACACATATGAAAACTCTTCTATACTTTTTTGGGGGGAAACAGTTTGTAATCAATGCACTTTTAATTAAAACACATTGAATTATAGCTAATTTTTTTGGATTATACATGAGTAAAAATTTCCTATTGAATTATTTAGGTAAATAATATCTTATAAACATGTGATAAATATTGTTATATGATTATTTGGGCATGTGTTATCTTTCTCCCATTAAATCATAAATATCTTGAAATTAGGAAGTGTTTTTTACTTCCTTTTTGTATTACCTATTCCCTAGCACCATACCTTGCACATAGCAGTTACTCAGTTACTTTTTGTTGGATCAAATATTGGGAGAATCCTACATTTTTCTTCTCTGAAAGAATGAATGTTCTTCTCCTTTACAGGCTGAACGTCAAGCGATCAATACCACAGTCCAGGGGTCTGCTGCTGATATTGTCAAAACAGCCACTGTTAACATTCAGAGACGATTAGAGACACTCCCTTCTGTCATCCAGTCACATGGACATAGAGAGAGTAAGCTACGTGGTGACCAGACAGGTTTGTTCATTTTATCTGATGATGATTTTCAAGTTGAGGAAGTAATTATAAGAAAAGGAGGGGAGTGAGATAGAAAAAAGCTCTTATTTTCACTTGTGAGTATTTCATAGTTTCTTTTCTTGACTATGTCCATGTTTATGTAATAAGTAAACACACGTGATTTTCAGGTTCTGTGAATAAACTCTTAACTGACCTTTTTATGTGTCCTTTGCTGTTGTCCTTGTACCTCAAAAACATGTACCCTCCTTACAGTATTAAACAGGCAGATTGCACCTGACCTTAGCTGTTACTTCACCCATTTCCTAATTCTTTATCTCTCACTTCATTCTTCTTCCTTGAAGTAATTTTCATTGATTCAGAAATTGCTGTCAAACTTCTAGTATTAATAACTCACATTTGTATAGCACTTTAAACTTTATTGGATGCTTTCCTCTTAGGAATACTATTATTGTTGCTTGTCTTTTACTTTTTCCTAGGGAGAAGTCATTAAGGCTAGGGGGAAGGGGTTGTGGGAGAGAGCTAAAGGGCTATAGAAGGGGAAGGAATGGGAAAAGTAATCATTGGGGGCTTGAGGTGTTGCTGATGGGAAAAGGCTGAACTGGACTGTAAGGTAAGCAGGGGCAAGGGCGTAACCACCGTGAGTGAGCTCTGGAGCAATGCTGAGGGAAGCTTTGAGAGAATCATCCAGGTTTGGGTGTGCAAGACAAAAAGAAATTGTGCGTGTGATATTTTATTCAGCTTAGTAGGTATAAATGGTAGAAGGTGGAAATAGTAGGCTTGAATGATTTTTTGAGTTGGGAAGTACACTTGTGGTAGAATTGGAGGCTCATTGGACTTGTAGTAAGAAGACTTAGGTTTAAGTGCTAGCTCGGTCATTTACTAGTTTTGTGACCTTAGTTGTTAGGAACAAATGAGATGATGTATATCAGGTGTTTTGTATACTTTATGGTACTATATGAACATGAACTCTATTGTTGATGATGATACCTGAAGGTATATAATGGAAAGAGAATTGGATTTTCATTTAGAAGACCTGGGTTCAAATCCTATCTTTGCCACTAGGCAGGGGCAGCTACCTTGGTCTATTGAAATTTATATTGCCTTTTTAGACTTGGGCTAAAGTCATGTGGAATCCTGAGTAGGGCATTGAACTTGAAGGAAAACCTGGATTCAAATCCTGCCTTAGATACTTATTAACTGTGTAATCCTCTGTTTTCTCATCTGATAAAATGAGTTAGACTTAGTGACCATTAAACTCTAAATCTGTGGTTCTGTGATCCTAAATTCTGTTATACAGCATGGTAAAGATAGAGAGCATTCTGGTTAAGTATGTGGTTAACATACCATGCCAATTTATAGAGAATCCAAATATGTTTATATAACTAAGTACACACATAGACATGTTGGAGAATTGACTGGTATTTCTGGACATTTATATTACTTTATTAATTTGAACAAATAAATTCTGTTTTGGGGCATGGAAGTAGGATATTCTGGCTTATAAATAATTATAATATACCATTTATTAATGATTTATTTTATTTTATTTTAAATTTAATTTTGATTTAATTTAATTAATTTAATATTTCTTGGGTGGTACAGAAAGCACATCAGGATTTTAAATTGTCTTAGCGTCATCACTGACATCACTTTTCATTGTATATTTTGTATATAAAGTATAGAATTTTTCCTATAGATCAGTCTGGTCAATAGAATTCCAGATTACCAAGTATCTGGTGTAGTTTATTATGTATTTATAAACAGCATATTTGTTTATAAATATACAGTATGTATTATAGTATATGTATCTATAAGTAGTTTGTGTATATACAAACAGTAATGATACTGTTGGGCATGTTTGCACACTCCCAAGGAAGCACGCTGGCTCACTCTCTTCATATATTCACCCTGGCTCTCCTAGAGATATCATGGATGGGCTCAGAGCTTAAGCAGACTGGTAAAGGTAATTGCTAAGCAGGCATACATTTGAGAGATCCCTCACAACATATGAAAACTCTAAGGTCCTTTTGAGCTCTGATATTCTATGAATTCTCTGAGTTGTATGTAGTGGAAGGCTATAGACACAGAACCACTTCTTTCAGGAAATGGTAGTGCAGCATTGAATGTATAGTCCAGAGGAGGAATGCTGTTTAGTTGTGGTGCTAATTGATGAAACTTAGATATTGTGGGGGGGTCACTTTGATAAAACATCAGGGGATTCTCACATGATGAGGAGGATATTACTAGCTTAATTACCATGAGTTCAGTTGCAGTATTATGAAGTTGTGAGCAAGTGACAGAGCTCATATTTGTATTTGGACATTGATACAAAAGGGAAAAACAATAGTTTATATGGTCCTTCATAGTTATAAAACATTTTATATACAGTAGCCCTGTGAGATAGGTAATATCCCTGTTTTACAAGAATCCACTGAGGCTCGAAAGTTTAAATGACTTCACTAAAGTCATAGAGCTAAGTACTGGAGTCTCACCATGTTGTGAGTATACACATTGATACTTTTGCACACAACAGACCTGTAAATGTTCGCAAAGGTACAGAGATCCAGAACTGACTCTTGTTTTCCTCCCAAAGACAATGAAGTGTACTCTTGCTTTTTCTGGCAAATATAGGTTGTAAGCTACAGTGCTTGGATGCTGGCATGATTGTTTATGGTACTGTTGTACCATTGGACCTCCCCCTTCAACACTGAGATTATTCAAAAGCTATGTGGCAGAATTTTCCTGACTCATACCTACACAGTCCCAGCCTTCTAGAGCTTTAAGTGCAGCCTTTTGACTGAATCCAAATTTTACAGAACAATAGGATTTATTCTATAAAATTTGGATTCAGTCAAAGGCTTCACTTAAGCATCTAGAAGGCCACATGTGGCCTCAAGGCCTCAGGTTACCCATCCCTGGTACTCTTAGATTATCTCTTGGGATAGATTAAAAGAGGTATTTTCCAACCTTTTAAGTCATGAGATCTTTATGTTCATAATAATAATAATGATAATAATAATAATAATTATAATTTTGTGCTATTTTTCTTGCACGATGAAGTTTGAGTGATAAATGAATTCTTTATGTAGATGGTAAGAAAGCAGAATTGCATGTCATATTGTAGCCATTGGTTTAGTGACCCTTCTTTATGTTGAGTTTGACACCACTGGAGTAGAGTGTATAGAAAACTATGGTCAGTAAAAAGACCGCAGAATGCTGATTTTTATACCAATCTTCCCTTTGAGTAGGTAGTTAGTCAACAGGCATTTATTAAATAATCATTGCCCTCAAAAGCTTACACTGTTTAGGGAGCCAGGCTTTGAGGTGAGGACCTTTAAATGCCAGAAGAAATTGTTTTTATTTGATGATAGAAGTATTGGGGAGTCACTGAAGATTATTGAGCAGAGGAGTGACATGATCAGACATGCTATATGAATATCACTTTGGCAGCTGGTAGAGGATGGATTGGAAAGGGAAGAGTCAAGAATCAAAGGGATACCAATTAGGAGGCCGTTGTAATAATCCAGATGAGAGGTGATGAGCTACGTTGATGGCTGTATGAATGGAGATAAATAGGGAAGATATATATATATATATATATATAAGAGATGTTGTGGAGGTATAGTCAACAATACTTGGCAGCTAAATAGATAATATGGGGTGAGGAGTGTCAAAGATGACCATGAAGTTGTGAGCCTAGGTGTCTTGGAAGCATGATAGCGTTTTCAGAAATAGGGGAGTACGGATGAGGGGTGGGTTTTGGGGAAATGATAATAGGTTCTTATTTGTACATGTTGGGTTTGAAATGCCTAATGGGACATGTAGTTTGGAATGTATAATAGGAAGTTGGCCATGTGGAGCTGGATCTCAGAAGAGAGACGAGCTTGACGTAGAGATCTGGGAGTAATCTACAGAGGTAATAAATGAGCTGGTCAGGAGCTGATAGGTCACTTGAGAGCATGTGTAGAGAAGAATACCTGGTACAGACTCAGGGTACATTCCAAGTCACAGAGAGGTAATAAGGATTATGGTCCCCCAAAGAAGACTGAAAGAGCAGTCAGATAGGAAATTTAAGAGAAAGCAGTATTAAACGAACTCAGAGAGGAGAGGGTATCCAAAAGGAGAGCTAAACATCCCAGTGACGCCATGTTGCAGAGAAGTAAAGAAAGGTGAGGATTTAGAAAAAGCCTTCAGTTTTATCAATTTAGAGTTAAGTGATCATTGATAATTTTGAAGAGACTAGTTTCAGTTGAGTAAGTTAGAAATGAGATTGTAAGAGATTAAAAAGTGAGTTAGAGGAAGGTGGAGGGAATAGTATAGACAACTCTAGGAGATTGTGGAAGGGAGGAAATATATAGCATAATAGCTTGAGAGGGTGGTAGGATCAAGTGAGGATTTTTTAAGGATGATTGAGATCTAGGTATGTTTATAAGCAGCAGGAAAGGAGCTTGTTCATGGAGAGAAGTTGAAGATTGGAGAAAGGGAGTATGATTTTGAGGGCTATTTGCCAAAGGAGGCAGGAAAGATGGCACCAGATGTACAAGTAGAGGAGTTGGATGTGATGAGTATGAACACTTTATCAGAGAATAAAAGGTAGAGAAAATGTGTTATGATGGGCAGAGGTTTTGAAATAAAAGGGAAGAGGGAGCTCAGAATAAATGGCCTTTATTTTCTCAGGTAAGTATGAGGTTATATCTTCTTCTGAGCAACTGGAAGGAGGAAGTAGTGTGGTAACCTTAAAGAGAGAAGAGAAGATTTGAACAGCTGCTGGGGTGAGGGGAGCTAATAGAGGAGAATCAGTTAGATAGGAATTAAAGGATTGTCTTCATGTTCTGAAGACCCATTTGAGATTAGATAACACGTATGTAGTGGGTGTAGCCAGCAGAGTTTGCCAGCTTTATTTAGCAGTAAGTGAATAGGAATGGGGGAGGTTGATGAGGCAAATGGTTTTTTAGGATTGGGACTTTGTAAGGGATACTCAGCAATAGTACTAGGGAGCAAGAAATTCAAGAATAGAGGACAGGATAACTTTAACAATGGGGTCAAGATTTGGAAGGAAGGAAAACAAAATCTTAGCAGGTTGATGTAGTAAGAAGAGAAGGGATTGGGGTCACAGTGAGGATCAATAGGTGTAGGAGTGAGACTTTGGGAGAGAGAGAATGATAGAAGATTCTGGATCAAATAAAAGAATATGAGAATTCTTGATCATGTGGGTCATGGAAATCAAGGATGTGACTGTGGCTGAGGTGGAATATAAGACAATAGGTGTGGGATTTGATGTGTATGTTGATGCCTTGGAGGCAGCTGGTGGTGCAGTGAATAGAGCTCTGGGCCTGGAGTCAGGAAGACCTGAGTTCAAATATGGCCTCAGAAACTTATTAGCTGTGTGACCCTAAGGAAATCACTTTACCTCAGTTTCCTCAACTCTAAAATGGAGATAATTATAACACGTACCTCAGGGTTATTGTGAGGATCAAATGAAGTAGTATTTGTAAGAAGTGCTTAGCATGGGCCTGCTGCATTATGGGTTCTATATACATGCTTATTCTCTTCCATTCTCTTCCTCCCTTCCTTTCCCTAATAGAAGAGCCAGGATTGAGGTGGACAGGAAGAATGTGTGGTAGGGATGGACCTCCTAGAGAAAGGAGAAGGAATGAAGTAGGAGCTATTTCTCTCACCAGCATCTGTATTGGGTAATATGTACCTGCAGATATGCAATTGCATCTTAAAGGAGTTGTTGAGTCATGGCAGCAGAGAGGAGGGGGTCTGTAAATGGCAGTGGGAAACAACGAAGATCCTGACTCCTCTTCTAGGACCAGTGTCTCAGGAGCATGAGAGAGGGATCCAGTAGTACTGGAAAGAAGGGTCATGGATTCAGTGTTGTCTTTTCCATTGTATGCATGGAGATGCCAGAGCAGGAGAGGAAAAACTCTTAAATGAGGGAAATTAATGGCAGAATGGGGATTCTAGAGGATGCAGTGGAAAGGGCTGGATGATCTGAGTCAGGACATGGAAGGTGTAGGCACTGGAATTGGTAGCAGGGGAGGAAGTGGTTTCTGATTAGCTGCCCTGTGATTTTGTATCGATGGGATTAAGTGTCAGAGAAGAGAGAGATTGGATTCCATGTTAATGACTCTTCTACAACAATTCCTGGGCAGAGGAAGCAGTAAATTAGTGAATTCTCCCAAGAACATATTTGTAACCAATTGATTCAGATTAAAAAAAAATTGATTTGGATTTTTAAGAAATTCTGATTTATTGCCTCTCAGTATCTCTGTACTCCAAGTGCTGACCCGGCTCCAGCTCCCTCAGTGTTGGGAGGGGTTATATGGAAGGAGGCAATGGAGATAGATAATAATGGCCTCTAGAGCTTGAGTAGAAATGCGCTGCCAGGACTTTGCAGCAGTGTTCTTCTGTATTATGCTTTTGTGTCTAGAGAGTAGAGATGCTGGTGGAGTGGGAGGGATGGGAATATAATATAAAAGGCAGGAAGGTTCTCTTAAATATGATAGGTAAGTTAGGTATTCTCCTGATCAGTACAGTGGTATAATTTCATGGGCTGCCATTTTAGTTTGCGATATTATCATGTAAAGCGCTATATAAATATTTCTTCTTCTTCGTTTTCCTCCTCCTCCTTTAATTAAAGTTTTCCAGGATATCTCACAATCCTGAAGTTTTACTGTGATATTTCAATTCTTGACCCTTTTTCCTGAAGAAACAGTGTGGATGTAATGATTAATTTTACTCTCTGTTTTACACTTTCCCTTTCTCTCTCTTCAGGACTGAAGAAAGGATTCCAAAGAATATTTTGCCCAATAAGAGGAGCTTTTTTCATCCTTCAGTTGCATGATGAGCTCCTTTATGAGGTGGCAGAAGATGATATTGTCCAGGTATCTTTATGATGTCGAACCGGTTTTTATTGTGCCCTTGCAGCTTGAGGTAGTCCCTTTGCGACAAAAAAGACTTTTCTCCCCGTCTAGTGCACTGCACCCTCCTTCCAATGCAGGCTTTTGAAAATAGCTGCAGGCTTGGAGGAAAGTGGAGGGCCCAAGGGCGTGGAGAGGTAGGTTCACAGTTAAAGAAGAGCTAGTCAGTTAATCATTTAATTAACAGGCATTTATTAAGAACCTGTTGTGTGCCAAGCACTGTGCTAGGTACAGGGAATACAGTGCCTTTTAGGAGTGTACATTCTGCTAAAGAAGGAGAGCATTTTGGTTCTTTGTGTCTTTGTGTTGAGGGGAGAGGGAGGACCCTGTTTCTAGGAAAATGAGCTGCAGGGATAGCTCTGGACCTAGGGAAGTTATATTAGGATCTACTGTTCAGCCAGCAATGATTAAGAGAAGATCGGGGTCTAGAAGCCAGGGCATCTGGAGTTCTCCCTAAGCTCTCTGCCGAGGTTCTCCACCATTCAGCTGCCAGAAAAACAAGTTTTTCCTTGTCATTGAAGACCAACCTAGGAGACTGCCTTGGGATGCCTCATTTTAGACTTGGAAATATGGAAGACCTTCTGAAGGAAAATGCCTAGAACCTCTCTGAGGGCTGCATCTTCTGGCAGGTGGTTTAGCTCTTCCCTAGAAGAACACAAAACTCCTCTCTCCCAGTGGAGTGAGTCTCTTACCTTCTTGTGTTTACTTTTAGGTAGCTCAGATTGTCAAGAATGAAATGGAAAATGCAGTGAAGCTCTCAGTGAAACTGAAAGTCAAAGTGAAGATAGGTCCGAGCTGGGGAGAACTATATGACTTGGATGTGTGACTCTGGAAGGGAGGAGACTGCCCTTGGTCGGGGATCTTGGTCCTTCTACATGGCTGTCCTTTCTTGTTACATGGAACTGCCCTCAGGAGGCCCAGCCACAACCAAAGTGACAGCAGCTATTGGATGAACCAGGTTATTTTTATAAAGGCTTTTTAAAAAGCATTATTACTTCACATCTTAAAGGACCATTTATGAATAGTGTTTTTATGGAGGTACGTTACCACATGGATATTGGGATGTCATGATTTTTTGAAAAAAAAATGAATTTTCTTCAAATGAAATAGAATTTAATGATTGTAACTCCTCACAAAATGTCTAGGGAAATTGCCTTTTAAAGAATAAACACAGAGAATTTAATGGTCTCTCAGGATTGTTATTATATGAACATATTGCTAGTTAAATTGGCTTAATGCCAGAGACACTTGCTTGAAGAGGTGCTTAAGAAGCACCTAACACTCTGGTCTTTCTGAATTGTCTCTGCTTGGGTAGAAAAGGAAGGGAGCTCTATTAAGCTTCCTGGAAGGTAGCAATTTTGTCCCAACACATTTGGTTCACATTTAGAGGAATCTCTAAATACCAGCAGCCTTGACCTGGGCTAATACTGGGAACAGTAAATAGATAAGTATTTATTTTGCACAGTAGGGTTAAGCTTTTTGTGATGTTTTTTATCTAGAAAGAAGCAGTGGGGGTTGGGTAGGCATTATTTTAGGTATTTAGTGATTCCAAGCCTGCAGGAGTCTAAATTATGAATTTTAAGACTGTGAAGGAAAAAAATGATGAATGTTATCTAAGAATGTATTTTCTTGAAAAGCTTTCTCTTCCTTCTATGTATTTAAAATACTTGTCTTTCCTCTTAATGGAGCCACACCTCTTAAATTGCACTTGTTTTAGAAAGAAGCTTCTTTTTCATTTGCAGCTCAGTTGAATTCGACACTGAAAATTTCCCATTCTCATTGTTGTCTTAGTACCTTTTCCCATTCTAGAATAGGGCTTTTTTTAAATGTAATTGAAAATCTCATGCTGAAAAGATTGCACTTTATACAGAGCCTCAAAATTGGCCCTTTTCATTATTGAAATAAAATGAATTTGTGATGAATTCTGCTTCAAGATCTTTTTTTTTTCTATAATCATTTTCTTTCACATTACAACATCAGAAAATCTGCTTTTATCTCTCTGTCCTACTCTTTGGCAGAGTGCCAAGCATAGCTGTTGTAAATTAAGTTGATGATTGATTGTCATCTAAATAGCTCTTTTATGTTCATTTACCTAGAAACAGATATTTAGTTTTGATGTCTCCATATTAAAGTAAGCTTATTTTTAAGCCTCTTGGTGCTATTAAATGCAACTCTTTGACAGACAATGAAATGCTCTTGTCCACATGTGAAGCAAAAGGGACTCAACACATCGTTTTGAATTTTTCTTTAAAGGATTGATATATTTGCCAGAAGGTGGCAAGAGAAGAGAAGGGACAGTTTCAGTACCACTAAGCTCATTCATTCTTAAACATATTCCCTTGTACAATGGGCTTCCCTGTGGGAGAGTTGCCACGTATTCTTTATTACCACTTCTTTAATTGATTTAAGCAGAGAGATGCCCTGTCCTAAAATTCACAGGATTGGAATATTTGTCAATAAGATGTTCTTTAAATCCAATGGTGAATTAGTGATTTATTTTTTCTGAGTTCATATACTGACTTCAGAACTGCACCATCACTTGCCTACTTGAAACTGGGTATCCCAGAGCTGTCAGCCTCAACATGGCCAAAGTAGAACTCATTCTCTTTTCTCCCAAACTCATACTTCTTCCAACCATCCCAATTTCTGTTGAAGGTGCCACCATTCTTCCAGTCTCCCACCTTTGCATCTTTTTGTTATCCTCGACCCCCTCAGTCTCTATCCCCCCACATTCAGACTGTTGCCAAATGTTGCCATTTCTGCTTCCATAGCTCCCTCAGAATCTGACTTCTCCCCTCCACAACTGCCGTCCTCCTTCTGGCCCTTAATACCACTTGCCTTTCTTCAACCCCTTAATTGACCTCCCTGCCTGAATGAAGTCTTTGCCCCTTCCTGTTCACCTGACACACTGCTGTGGAAGTGATTTACCTTAAATACAGATCCGACCCTGTCATTCCCCTACTCAAATTCCAATGGCTTCATGTTAACTCTAGGGCCAAAGATAAACTCTGTTTAGCCTTTAAAGCCTTTCGCAACTTTACCACAACTTTTTTTTCCCAACCTGCAGCAAAGGTTTTTATTTCAGTAATCAGAAGGATACAGTAAATGGAACATTCTGGGTATGCGCCTCTATCTGAAACCACACCAGATGGGATCGTGACTGGTTAAGCATTTACAAAATTCAGGCATGTCTTTCAGTTTCTGAGTACCTCGAAATTGAGGGCAAGGTAATCTCATCCCAAGACTGACTGCATCTGAAGGCCCCTCGTCTCTCAGCATTGCCTGCTGAGATCCAACATATATGGGTATTTAAAGTAAGTCAAAGGAACTGTGTGGGACAAGTGAAAGTTTCTCATATGAAATGGAAGCTGTGCCCCAAAAATTTAGTTAAGGCTTTAGCGTTAGCTGGGCCTAAATTTCGTTTTCCTGTAAATCATATAATAGGGTCATATACCAGCTGCCCCCCACCCCCATTTTGTAACCATCACCCCAGCCTTATCCTTACCAAATAAGGCAATCTTCTAGCTTCCAAGCTTGGTTTGGGTAAAATGTATCTCTTGGGTTCTAAATATAGATTGTAAGGTCCTTTGCCTCAACCAATGAGGATAAAGAGATTGAGGTAAACAAGTAGGGAGTGGGGTTTCTTGGAGTGGTTTGTATAAGGGTATATAACTGGTTGCTTGCTGCTGTATCTTGCCTTACTACTCCAGGTCGCTCTGGGTAGGTGATGCCCAACTCTCGTGCGAGACTTGCTAGAATAAAACTTCTGCTTTCTACTGAGAGAAACCTCTGAATTTTTATTTGGGTAGGTGGTCTCAATCCCACTTAGCATCTAGGTGGCACAGTGGATGGTCCACCAGCCCTGGAGTCAGGAGAATCTAAGTTCAAATCTGGACTTAGACACTTGACATTTACTAGCTGTGTGACCCTGGGCAAGTCACTTAACCCTGATTGCTTTAAAAAAAAAAGTAAAACTATGTAAGGAAGAGAATGGATGCTGGTAAAAGTTCAGATGAAAGATTAGAGCACTATATTTCAGATTTGTACAGCCTTGATAGTAACAAAATAAGGAGGCCTAAAACTATAGTACCAAATTGCTTCCTCTTTTCCTATGTTTACTTCTCTCCTCCTCTCTTCCTTTCTCCCTTCCCTCCCTTCCTCCTTTTCCTTCCTTTCCTTTCTTCCCCTCCTTCCCTCTTTCCCTTCCTTTCATCCCTTTCTTCCTTCATTTCTATTTCTACAATAGAAAGAAAGTATGTTATAATGGAGATTCCCTTTACCTGTGGGGTAGACTAGATGACTTTTGAGACCCCTTCCAACTCAAATCCTGCAACTCTGGATTACGATCATAGTATGCACAATTATCACATTGTTTGGTTCTGTTCAACAAACATTACATAGGACATCGTGCCTGACACTGGAGAAGATACAGATTTTAGCTAAGACGAGGATGCTATCCTCATGGAGCTTATAGTGCACTAGGGAGATAGGATGCATACACACATAACTATCCTACAAAAAATGCACAATAACTACATGAGGCAAAGTGCTACGTAAGAGCCCAAGGGATACAGGCAGGGTTCATAAGGTGGCATTTTGGTTTGGCTTAAAAAATAGCTAGGAATTCACACATTAATAGGACCTATGAGGTTGTGGTAACAGAGAATGAAGGGGAAGCAACAGAAATAAAGGTATATATTATATTGGTGGAATTGAGATGACTTGGAAACTGATTGTATATTAGTTACCAGGGTCATTGATTTTTCCATAGAAATATCTCTGGGATTTTTCCTATTCCGGGTGTTTGTTATTTGTGATATCAAACTTAGATTGTGGCAATAGCATGTTAACTGCTCTCCCTGCCCCCAGTCCCTCCCTTATCCAATTGATTTTGTACACTGCTGATAGCTTAATTTTTCTGAAATACTAATTGTGTTATTTAATTTCCTCTCAAAAATCTCCAAATATTCTCTTTGACTACTATACTAATTACATTCTTGAATGTAAGGACCTGGTGTATCAGAGAGAGTACTGTGTCTGGCATCAGAAGAGTCCTGGCTTCACCACCTTTGTGACTTCACATAGATTATATATTATTTCTGATCCTGCATTTGTTTGTGGTGTTTTATGCTCTGATTTATGCCTGTCTAAACTTTTGCTAACACATGTCCTGTATATCTCACAACAACAGAGTTGTTGGAACATTAAAGGAAATAGTGTATCAGGTGCTTTGTAACTAAAGTATTATGCAAATGTGAATTCTTATTTTGGTCCTACTTTCTCTGTTCCTACTATTCAGTCTAATAAATTATTTTCCATTTAGGCATGTCTTTTTTGACCTTTGAATCTTAAGAATTATACTTCTTCAGCCTGGAATATTTTCCTCCTTTCTTTCTTCTTTCTCCCATCACAGTCCCAAGCATTCTTTATTGTTTTCTTCATTTTATTCCATTTAAAATTTTTTAAATTTATTTTTATTCTGAAATAAACCCCACATAAAATAGACATTTCCATATTCCTAGTAGATCAGAAAAAGAGCATTGTACCCAAAACTGTGGGTCTCTATTATATACGACTTGCTTTTCTTTTTAAATAGATAATATAAATTAAATCTGTAGCTTACAAAACTGTCTTACTTTTCTGTGATTCTTTCTGGCCTTCATTCTTTTCTCTCCAAATATATATATATACATACACACACTTTTTTTTTTTGCAAGGCATTTGGGGTTAAGTGACTTAGCCACAGTCACACAGCAAGTAAATGTTATGTGTCTGAGGCCGAATTTGAACTCAGGTCCTCCTGACTCCAGGGCACTGCCACCAACTGTCCCTTCTCTCCATATTTTTAAAACAATGTTCCAATGACCCAGTCTTTTTTCTTTTTGTACTCTTCTTATGCCCATCCCTTGTCTCCCACCCATCCTGCAATCGTGAGAAAAGAAAAACAAAACTCTTTGATCAAATATGTGTGGTCAAGAAAAACAAATTCCCACACTGGTCATGTCCAGAAATGTACATCTCCTTCTGCATCTTGAGTCCATCACACTCTGTTAAGAGGTGGGTAACATCATTCCTCAGGTGTCATGGCTGACCACTGCTTTGATCAGGGTTCTTTATTTTTCAGAATTGTTTTTCTTTGTAATGGTACTATTATATAAATCGTTCCCTGGGTTTTGTTAATTTTACTTTGAATCAGTTCATGTAAGTCTCCCTAGACTTCTTTGAAACCAGTACTTTGAACATTTCATATGGCATGGTAATATTCCATTATAATTATATGTAATAATTGTTCAGTCATTCTCTCATTAATTGGTAACCAATTAATTTTCAGGGTTTTTTTGCTACTATGAAAAGAACTGCAAATATTTTTGCACATATGGGTATTTTTCAGTTTTCTTTGATCTCTTTCAGGTAGAAGACTAGTAGTAGTGGTTACTCTGGGTCACAGAGTCTGCATAGTCTAATGATTTGGGGGACATATTTCCAAATTGCTTTCCAGAATGGCTGGACCAGTTTACAGCTCCACCAGCAGGGCAGGAATGTACCTGTTGTTCAACAGTTTCTCCAGCAACTGTCATTTTCCTTTCTTGTCATCTTTGTCAATCTATTGTGTCAACTGGAAGGAACTGGCCTCTAACCTGTGTGTGGCCAGACCTGAACTAACTGGGCTACAGAAAGGAAAGTCAGGAATCAGATATTTAATTTCAAAGTGAGAGAAAGGCTTGCAAGCAAGGACATGTGCCAGAGCCCTGCCCCTAGTGGATGCTCTTTAGTGTGGGGAGATCTCAATACTTACACCAATGGCTATGCAGTGAGCTATAGCCCTGACAGTGAGGGGTAGCAGCAGCAATGTGACAAGTTTGATTCAGAGCAGAGCTCATGACCAGAAACAATTCTGGGATTTTGCTGTCGCTGAGATTAT